TAGTCGATCCATGTCATGGGTGAATGACCAATTTGAGTAAGGTATATAGTTAGAGATGTAGTCTTTGACCAGGTACTAGAGGGTGAGTGGTACTTGGATGGTAGTGGGTGAGCTAACTCCATATGTGGATTGGTTATGCAAGTCAAGGCCGTGGTAGGCCCATACCCAAACCCTTCTGCCTTGACAGTAGTACTGGACTTCCGAGTCTAAGTGGCACACTTGAGCAATCGCCTATTGTTGTGTATACTTGGTTCTCTTCGGAGTTCCTAACGATGTCCTATACCTGACATGATTGAGATAGGTCAAACGTTGGATTTGGTAGGTTTTATGCCACCTAGACTGCTCAACCTCAATTGTTGGAGATCTCCTAGTTGTATATGCGTGACGACGCATTAGTTGATGTTGCATGTGTTGTTGCATTCAAGTTGCATATAATGTTATATGAATGAACAGATAGTTGAGTTATTGTGTTAAAAACTATGTGGTTGTGTTATGATGATGAGTTGTTGATCACTAGGATTAGAGGAAAAGTTTTCGAAGTTGCTCATCCCATTGTGCGGATTGAGATAGTTGTGGTGCTTTAAGAGCCCAACTTGTTTAAAAACCCTCCTTGGAAAGTTGTCCCTTGGAGTGGATGATGTGTTGTTCTCCTCTAGGACATGGTTGGTCTCGTGTGTGGGCAAGGTCAAGGCACACGTGTATGAAACGACCATGGTATAGGGGTCAGGCCGAGCTATACCGATTACAAGCGGTCAATTTGAGTAAAGTACGATGTGTTGAAAATGTTGTTGCTATTAGATGATGTTGTATATCTATTGTTGTATGTGTTGTGTTGCTTTAAGTTGCAAGTTGAAAGTAGAATTCTATTGCTGTTTATTATATGTTGATGCTATTTTTTTATGATTATTGTTGTGAGCTTACCCTAGCATGTTTTCCCATGTGGTTGAGACTGCGATGACCATACCTTGATATGCGAGCAGATCAGGGGTAGGTGCTCTACTGGACTAGGTGAACTTCTTTTTGGTTGGGACTCAGGAGGAGGGCTGACGCTGTATTTAGCTGATTGGTAGCATTTGACTACCTAGTTGTTGTATAGGATATTATTCTCTACTTTCAGTTATATATATTATGAGACTTTTTAGTTGTGTATTCTCAATATATATATAATTGTTTAGTAGTGATATTTTATTTTATACTTGTATCTGGATGCTATAGACAGTATGAGACATGACGGATCGTTACAGCTATAGATATTTAAAGATTTATTTTTAGAAAATAATTAATTTTAAAATAATAATAATTTTTTTATTTATTTTAATATTTTTAAAAAATAATAATTTAAAAGTTGAAACTTA